TTATACGCCTTTACCCTGAAGGTTTAGAACTATGGTATTCTATTTGCTTCAAAGAAGATGTGGTCCCTGCATATCATGTTGAATGTTAATGTGGGACCAAAACACTAGTAGGCGTGTGAATTTTATTTTTTCTCCCTAGGATGTTATCATTCAAGATCTTGCTTGCTTTATTTTGTCTTCTCATGGTGTTATTATTGAATAGAGCGTGCATATTATATGCTCATGTGGGAGCACACAATACATCCACTCCCTCAGGCAGATGACCTATTTAGAAGGATTCTTTCAATTGGAAATTTTGACCACCTTAGAATCACTAGATGATTGTTTTCAAAAAATAAAGTTTGAATGTTAAGTTTTTAAACCATTAGATCTAACCCTAAAAAATTTTGGACAGCCTTTCTTCAGTCTTGAAATATTATTTTTCTCATGTGCATAGAGTGCATGATTTGGAAATTTCTTTTATTAAGGTTAGTCTATGTTTGGAAGAGGTTATATCCCCAAAATTGGCGTCCTTGAATTACTCTTGATATGAATTTTACCTAAGAGAGTAAATAGATATATACTCCTGCGGGAGCAAGAAATATTTTGGTTATTGAATATCTTGGGCTGCTTGCATGCCAACAACTTGAAATTCTGATTTGTATTACTTTTGCACTCTGTAATTGTTGGGTTAGTACTGACCTTAATTTGCTTTATGTATATATTACCAGGAAGAAATCTTAATAACAGGCACATCCGTATGTTCAGCTCTGCAGTTGCAGCAGAAGAGCCAATCACTCCGCCTGTTCAAGTTGAATACACACAGCTTCTTATTGGTGGAAAATATGTCGATTCAGCATCAGGTTAACTATGAATGATTACTCTTAACTATTAAAATTTAAATATCTTTCAGGATTGGATTAAATATGATTAATATGTCCTTTTCTAGGATAAAGGACAACTACTTGCCCTTTGATCAACCAAACCCCCTATTCCTTTAGTGTGAGTATCTTGAGTAGAAATCTTCTGCATCATAGGCTTCCTGGTGAACTTGGCTAAATAAATTGCTTTAACTGAAAATTGAAATCCTATAAGAAACGTATGCTATAGGCTGGTGTGACTCTACTATATGGTACTTTGGCTACTTCACCATCCATTCCCACTGAGGGAACGTTGCAGTTAACTGGAGTGGGGCCCTTCATGCACATTGACTCAGTTAAACATCGAATCATCCATTAATGGGAAGGGAAGGTGGATGTAGCTTTGAAGTACCATATATAGCTTTGAAGTACCGTATACCTTTTTCCATAGCACCTTATATGCATTCCCTTTTCATTGACACCATGTAAGCCATGATGGGCTTCACATGTTTGTAAAGCCTTTTAGAGCTATGATTTGAGACTGTTGAAGTGTATAAGGTTTAGCGCGTAGCATCAATATCTTATTTCGAATGGCTGTATTGAGAGGTGCTGGTGCATAATAGGATGCCATTTGTTTCAGGCAAGACATTTCCAACCTTGGATCCTAGGACAGGAGAGGTGATAGCCCACGTAGCAGAAGGAGATGCAGAAGACATCAATAGGGCTGTCTCTGCTGCTCGCAAGGCATTTGACGATGGACCATGGCCAAGGATGACTGCTTATGTAATGAACCCCTCCATGATTGTATTTGTCTTCCAAAGAACACTGTTTACAAAGAGTACTTTTAGAATGTACTTCTTTTCTGGAGATGAGAAATAATGATACATTGTCATTGTTTTATTAATCTTTCAGGAAAGATCAAGGATACTATACCGTTTTGCAGATTTGGTTGAAAAGCACAATGATGAGCTTGCGGCACTTGAAACATGGGATAATGGAAAGCCTTATGAGCAGGCTTCCTTAGCTGAAATTCCAATGTTTGTACGGCTTATGCGATATTATGCTGGTAGGTGAAATTTGAATTTCTAGACACATTCAAAGCATTATTTGCCTCCATTGGATCGTGGAAAACTGTAGTCCAATGGGGTCATCACTGTCCAAGAAATGATGGATGGTTGAGAGAGAGTGAGACTACTGTGGTATCGTGTCCTGTTTTGGTGGGTCCCATTCCATCACCATCCATTTTATTAGATGGTGACGACCCATTAACCTATTAGCATATCCCATAGTCCTTTGGATCATAGTATCCATCTCTCATTTTTCCTTTCTACTTCAGTAAATTTTCACACCATGTTAAGATGTTCTCATTATTTTTCTGACACTTCATTGCAGGTTGGGCGGATAAGATACACGGGCTTGTAGTTCCAGCTGATGGACCCCACCATGTGCAAGTCTTACATGAACCCATTGGAGTTGCTGGGCAAATCATTCCTTGGAATTTTCCACTTCTTATGTATGCTTGGAAGGTGGGGCCGGCGTTGGCTTGTGGAAACACTGTCGTCTTGAAGACTGCAGAGCAAACACCTTTATCGGCCTTACTCGTATCTAAATTGTTCCTTGAGGTACCTGTGCTTGACCATCGTCACTAAACCTCATTGCAGTCTTTGTTGGATGTTTCTTTGATCTCTAGTTTTTAGTTGCATTTGATAAAGATGTGGTATTTTAATAACACAAAGGATGGGATTGTTCCATACGGTTTTAGTCTCACTGTGTCGTCATTACTGCCATCTTTGCCATCATCACCAAGTCATTGGGCCTTTGATATGTATATATACATGTGTGTACCTGCACAGACAAGAAGGGTCTTATATTTGTTTATTCCAGTTATATTAGACCATATAGGCAGACCTATGGAACTAGGCATCATTTGTACCTTATGATATGGATATCATAAACCAGTTATTTGTACCTTTGTTTCTGTTATCAAATTCGACGAAATCAAATTCTACGAATTTGAAGTGTCTGCCACTGAACACTTGAAGGTCCAGGACTTTTGCACCTTATTCTTGAACAATGATTCTCTTTTTTGTATTTAGACATGAATTTTTAGCTTCATAATTGCTTATCTCTTACGCGATGCTTTTTACTGTTATTTAAACTTAAAATTGTTTTATGGGTTATGTAAGTGCACATGGTGAAATTGTCTATTGACATGACTGGACGGATGATTCAAATATTTTGGGATGTTCTTCCCTTTTATTTTATTATTATAAGTTCTATATTTATTACTCATAAATCCATTTGAGCAAAGCACCGAAATATTGTCAAACTAAAAATTGTTCGGTAGTTTCCCTATTCCAGAGAGGTGAAAGGAAGCTGAATAATCAATTTAAGCTGGATATCAGTTTTGCTCTTGTCGAATTTATGGTAATCACTGGCATTGTCAAATTTGAATAGAATATATTAGTTGACTACAAAAGGATCCTGATAAGTAGTGATTCAGTTCCTCTTTGGCTTCAGTTTAGACTATGATCCATGGAGGTTAGATTGGATTTTTTTATGAATACAGAATGCTGCCATTAGTTTCATATCTCAAATTTTACATTCTGCTATAGAGTTTTTATTGCTTCTTGACATTTCTGTTCGGCAGGCTGGGCTTCCTGCAGGTGTACTGAATGTGATTTCTGGGTATGGTCCAACTGCTGGAGCAGCTCTTGCTAGCCACATGGATGTGGACAAGGTATCCATTATGCATTCTTGGTCTTCCTGAAATGTTGGTACCGGGAGCATTTTGATTGTTTTGCTTAAGAATTAGAACAGAATGAAGCTCAAAAAATTATATAAATCAGAAAAGCTGAAATCATTAAAGAATATACAGGTGAATACTGTGGACTATATCTGAGAAAGTAAAAACCAATTAGATCCGGAAATGTTAGACCACTTGATTAGTGTTTGGGCATCTAAGATAAATCTCTTTCTTTGACAATTCTTAAGATTCCTCAACTAACTAGATGTGTTTTTTTATTCTTGAAATTTTTTCTGTTTTGTGTTTAATCAAATGTTTATACTTATCAGGACTTACACCAGTACTCAGTTTGTTGTTCTCTGCTTTGAAATTATCATGTGGTTTGATGCTGCTTTTCATTTACTATTTACATATCATGTGTAAATTATTAAAAAAAAAAAAAAGCATTCATATACCTGTAATGGTATCTTTTATATATGGACAGCTATTGTGTCAATGATGGAATCTATAACTCTCTCTTACTCATGAAGCAATTTGCACTTTATTGGAATCGGCAGTTTAACTGTCTTTAAGGCATAAAAAACTTCAAACTGACATCAGAAACTAATCGAGGAAAACCACTTATGAATTTAGGGTTTCATCTCTATGTCTCTTTTGGAAAACATCATGCTTAATTGGACCAATTAATCTTGGCAAGCATAAAAGGATTTCAATTTGATCTCAAGAAAATAACTTAAATCTGGATTTTAAGACATGCGCATTATTTTTCCTTGCCTCCTTTCTAATTTTCTTGGCTTTGCAGCTTGCTTTCACTGGATCAACAGTCACTGGTCAGGCTGTACTTAACTTGGCATCAAAAAGCAACCTTAAGCCAGTGACTTTAGAGCTTGGGGGAAAATCCCCTTTTATTATATGCGAGGATGCTGATGTTGATCAGGCTGTTGAACTTGCCCATTTTGCATTGTTCTTTAATCAGGTATATACCCATAACTTTATCAGGTATCCGATATAGCCAAATATGTTTAAAAAAGATGCTTTCATATATGTAGGGACAATGTTGCTGTGCTGGGTCCCGAACTTTTGTACATGAGCGCATTTATGATGAATTTTTGGAGAAGGCAAAAGCACGTGCTATGAAACGTGTTGTGGGTGATCCTTTCAAGAAGGGTGTTGAACAGGGTCCGCAGGTAATTCTGGCTCATACTCAACACTTATGGCGGAAGTGAATGAGGAACTTTATCTTTTACATTAGTGTGGTTTAATTTAGTTATTGAGTTCTTTATTCCAATATAAAATGTTAATATGTGAAAGATCAGGATCATTAATTGTATATTAAGGGTTGTGGAATTTTCTTTCCATTGTTCTGGTAGTTTAGTCCTAATGTTGAGTAGGCGGCATGGTGATCTATCTATGGTCCAAGTCAGAGCCGGTCAACAGCTCTGCAATTTGGGCATTAGTGATCGTCTTGTTTTCCGATCCAGCAGTGGGCTGGTGCTATTCCATAACATTCGGGTTCCTTCCCACTCAGAAAAGTCCTCATACGATTTTTTTTAATTTGATTATGATAGTCATTTGTCCCCTTATTTACAGACGACACATACCATAATAGCCATCCATTCCCCCAAAACAGTGGATAGATGATACCCTTTCCCAAGCTGAAGTGATTATGCTGTGTACATTTTAGCGGTTTCTTTGAAGAGAAAAAAAATATTTTCTTTTTCCTTAGCTTGCCACTATGATATGTGCCCGAATGTTTTTGTTTTCTTCAAAGAGTTATATCTTGTTGGAGTTGTTAGTAATTATACCTTCCATGCTTATATCATAGATCGACTTGGAACAATTCAACAAGATCATGGGTTACATAAAGTCTGGTGTTGATAGTGGGGCCACACTCGAATTGGGGGGAGAGAGAATCGGTACCAAGGGCTACTATATCCAGCCCACGATTTTCTCGAACACCAAGGTACTATCAACCATCATTCCTAACAACTTTTTTATTTTCTTCTGAGTTTACAATTTTACAAATATGTTTCTTAAATAAAGTTGAGTTTTTAACATCTATTGCTTATTTGTTACAGGATAGCATGCCGATAGCCACTGATGAAATATTTGGCCCAGTTCAGACGGTGTTCAAGTTCAAGTAGGAAACTTCCCAATACTGACTTTTGTGCTCTTTTCCATTTTAATTACTTTTTCTAATTCTCTCTCTCTTTCACTCCAGGGACCTCAATGAGGTGATCCAAAGAGCAAACGCATCACGCTACGGTTTGGCTGCCGGGGTTTTCACGAAGAATATTGACACAGCCAACACCCTATCGCGAGCACTGAGAGTGGGTACAGTATGGGTCAATTGCTTTGATGTGTTTGATGCTGCCATTCCCTTTGGTGGGTATAAGATGAGTGGGGTGGGGAGAGAAAAGGGAATTCAGAGCCTGAGTAACTACTTGCAAGTCAAGGCTGTAGTCCAGCACTTGAGAAATCCTGCATGGCTATAATCTCTTAGGCCTTCTCCCTCCACACAGCTCGTGTTATGGGAACTTTCCACTGGGACTGAAATAATATATCGAGTAATAATACAAGCGCACTATGCTTTCCTTTGGTTTGTAAGTCATTTGGGCTGTTCTCTTTTGTATTTTCAGTAATTTACTAAGTAATTTACTTTCATCTTTCCACCATAGATTAAGAGTCATGATAGAGGTAACTTTGGTTTTTTTTTTTGTTTTCTTTTGCTATGGGTGAATGTAGCATACACCTGCGGGAACCCTCTATACATCTATTCCCTTGAGCAAAAGGACTTGACAGGGTTTCTTCATCTGAAATATTGGAGTCCACTTTATGATTGTCGTATGAGTATTTAACAAATAAATAAGTTAGATTTTTAATGTTATCATATTCCTCAAAAAAATAAAAATAAAATAAGGGATTTGGAATCTGGAAACACTTATAATCTTGTCAAAAATGTTAAAGTCTTACCTGGTGGAGTATCAGTGGGGGTATGAAATGGAACTGATTATATGTTCTGGTGGGATTCAATGTCGTCATGTATCGTGACAATTTGCGTCAAACCAAGATTTTAATATTGGCCAACCTATTCACCCAAAAAAAAATATTGGCCAACCCCGGATCAGGAATCGCTCATCCATATTCGATTTGTAGGCAGGCAATTTGAGTTTTCCTGCAACCACTTTTTATAAAACCCCAGTTCCAATTTAGGATCTAAAACATATCTTAAAAGTCACTCCATATCTATACTTTTGAAGTTCAATAAAAAAAAGTGGAGATCGTCATTAAATGAAAATTATATGTTTTTTAAGATATGTTCTTTTCCAAATTCATGAACTTGGTGATAGAGATTGTCAACCTGTAAAATTTCAGGTTCAAAATTCATCTCTAAGATGGGATTTTTGAAGTTGACTGTTGACGCGCCAAAACCCTGTCCCAAAATAGAAGCATTATATTGTAAAATATTCAAATTTGTATAACAAAATAATTATCACAACAAAATATATGTGTTCTCAGAGGGGCGTATCATCACTATTTTGCTTGGGGAGAGTTGCCCAACACGAGACGGAGCATAAAGCCCAGCCATTCCCATGACTATTTTTTATTCATCAAGGGTGCGGTTTATAGGAGGCTGAGGCCTTAAACAATCAAAGTAAGGTGCACCTTCAAATAGTGCCTAGACATGTTGTTTTAGAATAAAAAGTCTTTGTGATGGCGGACAATTTATTTTTATATCCAATTATAAAATTTAAAGATTCAAAAACAGTGTAGATCGAGCAGATCTATGACCACTTGAAATCTAGAAAACTGGCTGTCTAGATGCTACATCACAAGATGCATTCTTTTCAAGACTTGAAATCTATTTTTCTTATGTCTATACATATTGCGGTCGAGATGATCGCATTGAGGGTTTATCAGCATCAAAACAATCTCTTATAATGATTGATTTTTTGAAGTACACTATCATTTGCTTGTTTAGAAACTTTTTTCTTTGATGAATGATATTTATTTCAACTCTCGATTGTTTCCTTAGTTTATCTAGGCATTTAGTTTGGTCTCTTTTTTAAAATAATGAAAACTAAAGAAGCAATTTACTTTATAGTTAACAACGATCATGTGGCAGTACTTGTTTGCCCTAATTTTCTTTAAACTTTAAGGGAGGACCCTTTCGCGGTAGGATTCTCATGCAGCTAAAAAACATTTTGTCCCATCTTTGAACTTGAGACTGAAGTTGATTCCTCAAACTCCACATAAGACTTCTACACTGTCGTCATCATCATCATACATTTTTTCGACTATTTGGAATCGGCTGTATGAATCTTGATTTGTCATTATACTTTATCAAAGGTCATACCCTTAGTGAGGCTTTAAATCTCTGTGTCTTCTTGGATCTATCGCTTCTTTGAACTTACTACTTAAACAACAACAAAAAATTTGTCTATCTTTAAACTTGAGACCTAAGTTGATTCCTTAACTTCCATAAAAGACCTGCACACTAGTCATCTTGACAACCCTGATACACTTGCCACGAGTCTTAATTTCAATTTTTTTGTTTGATGTTTGATACTTGAGACATGATTTTTATCTTCTTGATTTCCAAAGGGTAAACATCAAACCTATTTACCCGAAGCACATCCAAATATGCATGTTGTACCTTTTTTATTATTCTTACAATCAATATTTATCATTCATTTTGTTTTCTTTAAAATGTTGGTACGTAATTATGTATACCTAGGGTCTATTACGGATGATATTTAATGTTATCCAGAACAAACTACTTTATCTAAAATTGATATACTGAGGATAATATTGTTTTGTTAGGTATTGCTATATATTTCGTATTATATAAAGTATCATTTAAATGTGAAGTTTGCATAGGGTTGCAAACTTCAACAGTCAAACTAAGGCGCACCACCAAACTGTCATAAGATGCAATTTTACTATATTTTTTTTTTGGTATGGCCAAGAATCTATTTTCATCTCTAATTACCGAGATTTAAACTCCCAATATTAGTTCAAATCAAAGCATCTTCCATTTAATATATATATATATATATATATATATATATATATATATATATAGTAATACTAGTAAGTAGTAGTGT